CTCCCCTCCTCCCCTCCTGTCCTCCCCCTACTTTCCTTTCCCCTTCCCTTCTCTCCTCCCCCTCCCTCCTCCCCTGTCTCTGTCTCTCTCTATCTCTCCCTGTCTTTTTTCTAATCCAGGATGGAACCCAGGTCCTCACCCATGCTAGACCAGGGCTCTGCCAGGGAACCACACCCCAGCCCCTGTTTATCTTTAAATATCCCTAATAGGGAGCTTGCATTGTTTTATTCTTTAACCTGACTGCAAGGCATGGTCTACCTGCAACAACAGCAACACTAACTCCTCCATCCCTCCCATGCCTGGCCTGGCCCCCACCCGCCCTCGTTCCTGTATCGCTTACCCCTTACAAGGCTCTGGAGCCAGTGGCAAGGTGTGGAGGCTCCTGCAGCTGTCTCTGGTCTGCGTGGGCTGCCTGCTCTCCACCCATGCCTCCTGCCTCTTTGCTTTCTGGAAACTCCATTAAAAAAAGAAGTATTTCAACCAGTGGCCTCACAACGTTATAGCAAGTGCTGTACCCCTGCACTACAGCCATCCCTGTTCATGTTGCAGACAAGGTCTCACTGTGTCACTGAGTTACCCAGGCTGGCCTTAAATTTTTCATCCTCCTGCCTCAGCCTCCTGAGTGGCTGGGATGACTGGCATGTGGCCCTACTCCTGGCTGGATATCCTTTTTATTTCCAAACTCCTCTGCTCCTTGGAGGCCGGGTATCCTGCACCCAGCCTCACTCAGAGGGAGGGATCCCCGCCTGCCCCCAGACTCAGTCCCCACATAGGGGCCCCAGCTCTGCCTTCCTGTAGACTGCAGAAGCCCCTGGCTTTCCTCTGCTTAGCTGTCCCTGCCTGCATCTGGCAAGATCCATGCCGCCTCCCTGAGGCTGTCCGTGTCACCACCACCACTTCAGGGGAGCCCCAAGCACAGCACGCCTGGGTCTGAGCCACTCGGGTGCCCCAGTGAAGAGTGCTGTGGGAGCCCTGTGGCCCTGGGCTTGTCCACCTGTCCTGCCCAGCACTCCCGGGGACAGCATGTCCCACCTGACACCTTCTCCCTCCACAGGCGGTGGCCATGGACGCCCTGTCGCTGGAGCAGCAGCTGCCCTACGCCTTCTTCACCCAGGCGGGCTCCCAGCAGCCCCCGCCTCCCCAGCCCCAGCCACCGCCGCCGCCACCGCCCGCCTCCCAGCAGCAGCCACCCCCACCACCCCCGCAGGTGCCCATCGGCCTCCCCCCTGGCGGCCCTCTGATGCCCAGTGCCAGCCTGACTCGGGGGCCACAGCTGCCCCCGCTTGCGGTCACGGTACCGTCCTCTCTCCCCCAGTCCCCCCCAGAGAATCCGGGCCAGCCATCAATGGGGATCGACATCACCTCGGTAAGCCTGGGACAGGGTCCTGCAGGGCCTGGCCGGGGGGCTTGCTGAGGAGGAGCCTGGGGGTCAGAGTGGAAGCCAGTGCTGTCGCAGGCCCGCCCCGACCTCAGGTGGTCACTCCGCGTGTAGATGGGGAAGCTGAGGCAGGGCAGGGTCACTGGCCCAGAGGCCCCCAGTGGGTCGCTTTGTGTTTGGTGGCCCTGCGCTCCCTCTTGGCCCCCGCTGCTCCCAGGCTGGAGGAAAGAATTCCAGAAGTTGGGGGCTGAGCAGAAGGAGGGGCGGGGCCTGTGTGGGAGGCTGTGTGGCGCAAGTGGCTTGGTGCCTGGCTCGCACTCTGGGACCCAGCTGCACAGGGGCTTTTTTGCCTTTAGCTCCTGGGCCCCAAGACTTCCTGATAACAGGGCCCTCATGGGTCACGCCAGAGCATGGCAAGGTCTCCCTTAACCTAGGTGCCAGTCCCAGGGTTCACGTTGCCAGGTGCTCTGCAAAGAACAGGCCCCTTTGGTGCCTGCCCCGGGGACTCGGACCCTCCCAGGTCCCCAGACTGGAAGACTGCTGGTGCCAGGGCGACTCTGGAGGGGGGGCCTGGCCTGGCAGTGGGTGACACTGCAGACAGTGGCCACCAGCATTGCCCTCGTAGGAAGCGGGTTCTCTTTTCTGGGACTGCAGCTTCCCAGGGAACAAGCCGGTGCACCCGCTGCCATTCTGCAGGACCCCTGCCTCCAGTACAAATTCTCCTGTCGCCAACCCTGAGGGACACAAGCCGGTCACTCCCAAGGGACTGTGCTGGCCCCTCCACCCACACCACCCCCACCCCCAGCCTGCTCAGGAAGGCCCCTGAGGACGCGGAGATGGATGTTACGGGGCAGCAGGGCCAGAGCACTCTGGTGGCTCTCCTGGGGGCACAGGACAGGGTCAGGCCAGACCCAGCAAGGGGGTTCCTGGTCCCAACCTGGCCTCGCTGCCTCCCCGGGCTCAAGCCGGGGCGCCCCTCCCACGTCTCAGCTGGTCCACTGTGCCGGCAGTGGTGACTCCCTGGTGACCACCCGTGAGGAGGGCTGGCCTTGCCCACTGCAGTCGGCTCAGGGGCCGAGCTCAGCCAGGCGCCAAGCGAGGGGGAGTCGGGAGGAGGCTGCGGCCGGCTGTGTGCACGTGCGGGCGTGGTGGGAGTACGTGTGTTGTTCACATGTATGTCTGTGTGCGTGCGTGCATGCATTTGCACATGTGCATGTCTGAGTGCACACGTGGGCATATGCACACATGAAGCTGTGTGTGCGCATATATTTGTGTAGGTGTGCGTACGTATACACGAGTGTACGTGAGTGACGCGCACATGGGCTGTGGATGTGGACGCATGGGTCTGCACGCATGTGTGTGCGTGGGTGTGGGTGTGCGCGTATGTACGTTGTGTGTCTGGGTGGCTGTGCATCGGTGGGGGGTGTACACGGTGCTGCCGGTCTCCAGGCTCTGCTGAGTCAGAGTGCGCCCCACTTCTCAGCTCGGTGACGTCCGCACAGCCCCTGTTTGCCGAGCTCCGGCTCACATGGCTCAGGGGTGCCAGGTTCTCTGGCCACCTGCGAGCTACACTGGCATCCGGGCATCCCAGATAGGAATGCCTGCTGGGGCCGTTGGTCAAGCCACCCCAGGACGCCAGGATGGAGGGAGCAGCGGGGGTCAGGGGGCCTCCCTGCCTGACCTGTCTGTCGTCGCAGGCCCCAGCGCTGCAGCAGTACCGCGCTAGTGCCGGCTCGCCTGCCAACCAGTCCCCCACCTCGCCAGTCTCCAATCAAGGCTTCTCGCCCGGGAGCTCCCCACAAGTAAGAGCAGTGTTTCATGCACCCCAAGCCCACCGCCTGCCCCGTGCAGCTTCTGGCCCGCCCCAGCCCGCCCCCTGCGCATCCCCGTCTGCCCCGCCCCCTGCGTTGCGCAGTGTCTGCGCTGCCCACCGCAGCCCAGCCGGCTCGGTCATCCTCGTGCCATCACCGTCCTCCACCGGTCCAGCCAGTGTGCACCCACCAGGTTGCTGGCGCTGGGACCTGGTGACCGCAGCCCGGGCTTGGGGAAGAGCGTGTTCCTCCTCTGGTTCTCAGGCCCCTTTTCCGGGAGCTGCCACCTTCCCGTCGTGCCTTTGTGGTCTCTGGGCAGCGCTGCCAGCCAGGGTGGCAGGGGCTTCCCCCAGATCAGTGACGCAGGAGGTGGATGTAAGCGACCACCCCTGGGCATCCTGCTCAGCGGCTCGTCCTCAGGGACGACCGCTCTGCCCTCAGGACTCACGCAGTGTCAGCACCCGCTCCCAAAGGAGGGCTGGGGTCCCCTTACTTTGGGTCACAGTTGCGGTGACAGCAGCTAGCAGGGGCAGGCTGGCCCCCGGCTGCCTGCCTTTCCTCCCCTGGGAGGGCATGTCCCTCACTCCAGGGCCCTCACCCAGGAAGCCTGTGTGAGCAGGTCTGCGGGCCCTGGGGCCTTGTCCTCACCCACTGAGGAGGGGACTGAGGCTGCCAAAGCCGGGCGCCTTGGTGGTTCTGTCTGTGGGTCTCCAGGGTCTGGGGACCGCATGCCGCCTTCAGCCCTATGGTGAGGCGGGGAGGGCTCCTGGGGTCTTCTGGGTCTGCACACCTGGGCCCCTCCGGAGCTCTGAGTGATGCATCTGCCTCTGCATGTGGCGCCACTGGGGGGAGGGATGGAGGTGCTGGGTGGCCGGTGGGGGCCTCGCCTGGGTGTGTGCCGCGCCTCCTGCGTGGCAGGCAGGGCGGTAGGGGGCAGGGTGTGGGGTCCTCTCTGGAGTGACCCATCGCACCTGGCTGGTTGCCTGGTGGGCAGAGGGTGTGTTGCTGTCTTGTCAGCCCCTGTGTGTGCCTGCTGTCCGTTGTGAGGGCAAGGCCAGCCAGAGACAAGGGACAGGGGCCCTCAGGCGCAGGCACCAGGCAGGACCTGGCTTGGCTTCTGGCCGGGCTCAGTCTCCCAGGATCGCTGGCTTAAGCCCAGGCCCGGGCCCCACGCCGGCTCCACCTGCCGTGTGCACCCTCAGCGGGCTGTCACATCGGTCCAGCCAGGCCCTGGCTTCAGGCCCTGGGGTTCAGTCCCCTATGGGCCTGCCCCTCCGTATGGAGCTGGTGTCCTGGCTCGAGCTGGGGGCTCTTTGTCCGGATTTTGCAGGGTTGGGGTGGGACCCAGGGCCTGGTGCGTGCCAGGCAAGCGCCCTGCCGCTGAGCTGCGCCCCACCCTGGAGCAGCAGGATTTTAGGGAGACGAGGTTTTTCTGCCATTTTGCCGTTCCTCCCTCAAGTCTGCCTTAGCTTTCCTTTCATGTCAGATCCGGTCATCTGCCCTCCCATAGCCTCTGCCAGCGTGCGGGCGGCTGGTGGGTTTGCGGTCCACCTCGCCTGGGACTAGGGCCTTGGCATCCAAGCTCTGGGTAGCCCAGGCACAGGGGATCTTTCTAGGACAAAGCCCGGCTGGGTGCTCAGGGGAGGAGATCCTGGGCCTGTCTCATCACCAGCAGCAGCTGGGGCTGGCCGAGGACTAGCGGTTTCCACAGGGCCTTCCTGTGCCTGCCCGAGCTGGGCTGTCCCCTCTGAGGTCTTATTTCTTGGGGGCCCAGACACCCCTCTGAGCTAGGCACTACCCCCACGCAGGCTCTAAGAGTCCCTGTTCCAGCATCTCCCCCACCCCGTGAGGTCCTCTTCATCCCGCAGCCCGGCCTTCCCTGCCCTGTCCAGCTGGTGGCCAGCTCTGTGCCTTGTCCTGTCCCTATGTGCATGGCCTGTGCCCTGTCCTCTCTCTCCCTGGGGGGTTGGTCTGGGTTCTCCCAGCACAGACCCCATTCCGGACATCCCACGGGGGTCTTCAGCCCCACCGCAGGCTCTCCCGTAGGGCTGTGAGGCACCTGGTGCCTGCTGTCCCCACCCTCCCTACGGTAGAGGTGGAGTCTCCCACACTCGGGCGCAAGGAGAGGGGGTGGGGGACAGCGCTTTAGGGAGTGTAGGGTGCAGAGGCCCTCAGGAGCAGCCGGTGGGAAGCAGCAGTCATCTAGGATTAGGGTACACCCCAGGGCCCCAAGATAGACATGGACCTCAGCATGCCGAGTGCAGGCAGCGTCCGGCAGGGTCCCAGCCCCGCGGGCCTTGGGCGGGGACCACACGGCTCTCTTCTGTCCGCAGCACTCTCCCGCCTTGGGCAGCGTGTTTGGGGACGTGTTCTATGAGCAGCAGATGGCGGCCAGGCAGGCTAACGCTCTGTCCCACCAGGTGAGCGGGGGCCGGGCCGCCGGCTGGCGCCCACAGCAGACGCTCGCCAGGACCCAGCCTCGCGCACCCAGGTCACCTGCCCGGCGCTCTGCTTGCCCCCTTGGTCCCCATCTTGCCCTGGGCTGCAGAGGCCAAGGCACGGTGTGGGTGGCTGGCCACGGCCCCCTGGCCTCTGTGCCTGGCCGGCAGAGAGGAGCCGGGCAGGGGAGGCAGGGCGGGCGCGAGCGGGGCGGGCGCGCCGCAGGCGGCGGCTGTCGGAGCGGCGCGGCGGCGTGACCGCGGGGCTGTGCTGGCTTTGTGTGGCAGCCGGCTCTGGGCATCCGGGCGCAGGGTCTGCTCCCGTCACCCATCACCCACAAGTGTCGGGAGAGGGGTGCCAGCCGCGGGGGCGGGCGGCGACCGCCGGGGGACAGTGCTCACCACCTGGCGCCCTCTGTCCCCAGCTGGAACAGTTCAACATGGTGGAGAGCGCCCTCAGCCCCGGCGGCCTGTACAGCCCAAGCTCCACACTGAACTACTCACAGGTGGCCATGATGGGGCTGGCGGGCAGCCCTGGGAGCCCGCAGGACGCGCAGCCGCTGGGCTACGCCGGCCACAGCGCCATCCCCAACATCATCCTCACAGGTGAGGCCCGGGGCCCGGCCCTCCCGCCCGCCGGGGCGAGGCTCGCTGCGGGCTGCGGGGCAGGTCCAGGACGCCCTCCGGGGCGGCGGCCAGCCCTGTCCTCACAGCGATGGGGAGAAGGGGAGCCCACACTGCCCAGTGGCTGCCCCTCCTCTCCGTCCTGCCCCTTGACTCTCCCGATGGTCCCCAGGGGCATCTCCAGGGAAGAGGGGCACCCTTAGAGACCCCATGGCCCGGCCCTGCGGTGAGGGTGCGGGCGGCCGGAGATGCCACGGAATGGAGACGGTAGCCACAGCTCAGAAAGTCAGGGACTCTCAGACCACTTCCCGGATGGGGAAACAGCCCAGTATTCCCGGAAGGAGCCAGGCTAGAATCAGGGCCCCTGTCGGGCAAGCTGGGGCCCCCACCCCGAACGCCGGCGGGGTCCTCTGGGCACCCACACTCGGCCCCAGCTGCTTCTCGGCAGACTGGGTGGCAGCGCCTGGCAGAGCAGGAGAGTCCCCGCTTCTGCTGGGTCGCGTGATGGAGTTGGTGACACCGCCCTCGCTTTGGGTTGGCCCTCGGTGCCGCTGACAGCTACTCCGTCACTCTGAGGCACCGAGCAGCCTCTCCGGCTGCCGCCCGCCCCCCCAGTGGTGACAGCCAGGACATCCCGGGCCTGGCCACACCTCCTGGAGGACAGCCACCGGCGTGAGCATCGCTGGGCCCTGGAGGCCCACGTCCAGTGTGGTGAAGCCCAGGCTAAGCTGTACCCTTTGTCCCCTACCCAGTGACAGGAGAGTCACCCCCAAGTCTCTCCAAAGACCTGACCAGCACTCTGGCCGGGGTCAGCGACGTCAGCTTCGACCCCGACAGCCAGTTCCCCCTGGATGAACTCAAGATTGACCCCCTGACCCTCGACGGACTGCACATGCTCAACGACCCCGACATGGTCCTGGCTGACCCGGCCACTGAGGACACCTTCCGGATGGATCGGCTGTGAGCGGCCACACCCGGCAGCCTGCCACCGCCACCACTGGCATCTCCCGGAGCCCGGGGACAGCCGCCTGTACCCCTCGCCAACGGCCGAGCTTGTGATTCTGAGCTTGCAATGCCGCCGAGCGCCCCCACCAGCCCGCCCCGCGGTTGTCCACCTCCTGCTGCTGCCCGGTGCCTGAGCCAGGTTGGGACGGTCCCTGCGCTCAAGCCCCAGGTGCCCCTTGTAAGATGCCAACCATGTCGTTCCCAGCGTGGGGGGCCGGGCAGGCTGGGATGGGGGCGTCCGTGGGCAGAGGTGCATTTTCCGACTGTTGTTCAGCTCTCACTGCCTTTCGTGGTCCCCGGTTCCCACACCCTCGCGCCGTCCGTCCCCAGCCCTGGCCAGGTATCCAGCGGGGAGCAGGGCTGGGCGGGGGGATGAAATAAACACTACCTTGATGGCCGAGTCCTTCCGTGGCAGAGCGTGAAGTTTAGAAGGATCTGCTCGGCAGCGATGCCCCCAACCTGTCTCCACCCTGTCCCCCAGCCGGGTCTTCCGGGGGGCCAGCTCCTTCCGAGATGCCTGGCCGGGCCCAGGCCCTGAGGGGGTCTCGGGCCCCCGTGAGGCGGGGGGCATCTGTGGCTCTGACTGCCGGGCCAGCCCCGCCCCTCCCTCGGCGCAGCGCTGGATGAGCGCAGGTCATCTGCGGGGTGGGGCGGGGAGGGACAGCTGGAAACGGTCTGGGCTTTTCTTCGTCTCAGTTCGTATTTCGTGTTGGTTGTAGACAAGTAGCTGAACCCTCCCAGCCGACACTTGCCTGAGAGCATGTTTTTATACTCCCGGGCCCACCGCCTGTCTCTCAAGCTAACTGGAAATGCGGGTGCGGCCGCCCGGCGCCCCCGCCGCATCCCTGTACTTTTTAGTTCCGCTCCCAAGTTCCTTAAAGACAAAAGCGCCGCTTCTTCCAGGCTGGTGAGCACAGTGGGGACTTTGTAGAAGCTCTTGGGGGCCCAAGCCCTTCATTAACAAGGCCATGGCAGACTTCTGGGGCACAGCCTCGGCTTTATTGAGCACCCCCCACCCCCCAGGTGCCCGCCAGACCACGGGTCGGGTGCCTTAAACTTCCTTGACCACCAGCAGCAGCCAGGGCCCCTGCGCCAGGCGTCGGGGCTGGCGGGAAGAGAACCCCAAGGACCAGGGCGGAGCTGCACTTCCTCCCTGCACCCGTTGCTCACGCCCAAGCCGCGGGCAGCTGTCCCAGGCCTCCCCCTCTGCGCTGCGCCAGGATGAGGCAGAGGTGGGCGTTGAGAGGCCTGTGTTTCTGAGACAGGTGCGGGGCCTCCTCACAGAGGCTGGGGTGGTAGTGGGGTGGCGGCAGGACGGGCATGGTCTCCACCAGCCACTTGGGGCGAGGAGCTCCGGTTTTCTGCTAAGTTGGTCTCCCATGCTCCCGCGGCCGCTGCCCACCAGGCGGGCCTCCTGCTTGGTGTATTTCTTCGTGATGTCGAAGCCCGCTGCACAGGGCCTTGGGACCCGCGCACTTGTCCTGGCGCTTTGAGCACCTGCCTGGTGGCTGCTGGCCTGAGAAGGCTGCCCCTCCTCCGCCACTGCATTGTGGCCACTGTCGCTCTGAGCCCCGCCTCCCCGCCCAGGTCTCAGGCCCAGTCTCTGACTGCAGGTTAAGCTGGGAGCAGAGTAGGGACTTTTTTTTTTTAAAGAAAAACTACATGTACATAGCGTTTGATTACCATTAGACCTGTATGTAGAACTTTTTAAAAATGGCCTTAATAAAATGACATGCAACCCACCTGGATGCAATTTTCAAACAAGCATGGGTGGGGGACCCCCCAAGGGAGCCTTGTGGCCCCCACTTCCCGTCTGCCCGGCCACCACCCTCTGCTTTTCTGGGTTCTTGGTGCAGATAGGCAGGCAAGAGGGGACATCACCCACAGCAGGGGCACGGGTGACAGTGTACCAGGGCGATGGGCTGAGGTGGGGGCATCCCCGCATTCTGAGCGGTCTCACCCTCCTGGGCCTGCACAGGCGGTTTGTGGTATTTTTTTTCTGACTTCTCGATATCATTTCTCTACTGCTTACTCCTGAATTGCCAAGACTTTCAGAAATGAGACGACCTCGGGGAGCCTGCCCTTCGTGATGTGAAAATACCGTGATCTCAGCCAAGCTCGCCATGTGGGTGGGTGGCCACAGCGTCGTGTATGGAGACCCGTCACACGTCCTGGCTGGCTCGGACAGGCCGGACCCTACTCCGCCCTCGTGCCGTGCGCTGGCTTCCACCAGGCTCCCGGCCACACGGGCCTCTTCCCTGGGACAGAAGCAAGAGGATGCTGTCCCCCACCTGCCTCAGTTTACTTTCCGTCCTCCAGTTCCCAAAGGGGGGAGTTTGTTCCCCCACAAGGCTCATCAGCTGAGGCTGGAGGTGGGGCAGCCCCTCTCAGTGCTGAGGAGAATTTGTGCCCCCCTCCCTGGCACCGTCTCCTGGGTTTTGGGTGACGTGGGGGCAGGGTCTGACAGTGCGTGTGGCCCTGGAGGGGGCTCAGCTAGGAGGGCCTCCCTGTGTCAGCACGTGTCACCCGGCGTCAGGCCAGGGCAGCTCGTGGTCTTCTGCTGGGGCTGGGGTGTCAGAGTGCGGGGTCGTTTGGAGATGCTCACTGTGGCTCCGTCTTGGGGGACAGGAGCAGGCTAGAGGCCTGCCGGGAGCCAGCAGGGCTTGGGCACAGGGCAGCCACCCTGTGTCGCTGCCCGTCTCTAGGGGGAACCTGGAGCCCCTCTCAGTCCTCACGACCTCTGTGGGCCTCAGGCTGGCTCCAGACCAAATGTCCTTCCAGAGTTGCGCCCTGGACACAGGCTGTACACAGGGAGACCCTGCACCCCCCTCTGGTCCTTAGGGGGTGCTGGCCATAGGCTATGGGGCTAGTGGTACCCAGGTACCCCAGTGGGCCTGTGGTCCCTGTAGGGGAGCATCTGGGCCCCTTGGCCCTGGTCCTGCACTCCCTGCAGGGGTCTCCTGCAGTGTGACTTGGCCCTCCCCTGTTGTTGAAGCCTGAGCCAACCGGGCTGTCAGCTTCCCTGTGGCCCGCGGGGGTCCTGGGCAGGCAGGAGTGGCATCCCCTGTGAGCCTGCAGTACCACGCTGTCACAGACACCGTCTCCCTCCAGGGCCAGGAGATGAGCTGACCTGCACCCAAGCCTGGGTGCTGGGTGTTTCCAAGGGCAGGAGCGTGCCCGCAGGCCCTGCGCCTGGGTTTCCTCCTGCCATTTTCTTAGGCCTGAAGGACTCAGGGCCCTGGCTGCCTCCTGGGCAGGGTGGGGGCAGGGCTGGGCCTCAGGGTGCTGGCTGCAGAGCTGTCGCCCTTCCCCCACTTCCTTCTGACCTCCACATCGGCACCCCAAGCCTGGGATGTGCGGCCCAGGTGAGGGTGGGCTCTGAAGCCGAGGCAGTCCACGATGGGCCTTGGACAGTGCCCGCCAGGTCCCGGGACCTAGTGAGGCCTGGCAGCAGCCTGGAGTAGGGGCCCGGGCCCACGGGCCCCGGAGGAGGCTGCCCGGCGCTGGTGCCACTGATATATGCAAACTGCCTGTCTGCCAGCCCTGCCCCGCGCCCTGCGCCGCTGGCTGTGTCCTCCGCATGCACGCACCGCCGCGGTGTGCCAGCTCCGTGGCAGGCTGAGGTGGGTGCTCAGGGCACTCTCGGCCGCCCCTGCCTGTCCTCTGGCGTGGACGCTTTGTCTTTGTACCTTTGCATCCTTTGTAATGAAATGTAATAAAAATCCAATGTTTTCGTCTCTGCCTCTTCCCTCCCTTCCTCCAGGTCCAAGCAGTAGGCGCGCGAGGTTGCTCTCTGACGCCACACGCAGGCACTGGCGCAGGCTCGACCCTCCTTGCAGCCTGATGCTGGCCGGGAGAGGGCCGTTTACACTTGGGGTGACCACAGACCAGCCACCACCCCCCGAATCTTGCAGCAGACGCTGCAGTGGGAGTTGGCAGGGGAAGTTACCAGTTTCGTTGGACGCAGAGGGCCTGGGGCGATGGCAGGTGTAGCGGGGTCCCCAAGCCAGGGCTGGACAGTCCCCAGCAGGCTGCGGGGCCCCTGGTGCATGCGCACTCCCTCCGCAGCAGAGACGCAGCCAGGGTCCCGCACATGCGCACTTTATTGCCTCCCAGCCCCTCCCTGCCCCCCCCAGGCCGGCCGCAGTGACGGTGCCCATGGTCCCATGGCAGGTCCCCAGCGCGGCCCCTAGGCCCGCTGCAGCCGCTGGGCCTCGTAGTCTTCGGGGATGGTGTCTGTGGAGGGAGGGAGGGTGGCCGGATGAGGGTCCGCTTGGGCCCGGGGACCCCCGCTGGACCCCCACCCGCCCCCCGCGCTGCTCACCGTTGCAGCGGTAGCGCAGGTTGGCCCAGATGATGTTCTCCTGCGAGAAGCAGAAGACGCCCAGGCGCCCGCCCCTCATGGTTGTGTCCAGGACCACGTTGCTGTCGGCCACCAGCTCGGGGCCCTCGTAGAACCGCACCCTGTGGGTGGGGCACAGTGAGGCGGGGTCCTCCCTGGCCCTTCCCTCTCAGAGCCTCAGCAGACAGCCAGGCGGAGGGTGCCCACTCAGGCCTCGGAGCAGGGGGAGCCCTGGCCTGGGCCTCAGCTTCCCTGTGAGAAAGGATGCAAAGGGCCCTGCCCGCGGTAGGTGCTGAGCCGCAGGCTGAGACGCCCTAGCAGCGTGGATGAGGGATCAAGTTCTAACTGAAGGACCACTGGGTGCTGGGTCTTCCTCCTCAGCACAGTGGGGTGTGCCCAGGGCCACACGAGTTCTGTTTTTATTTGGTTTTTGGTGTTGAGGACTGGACCCCGGGCTGCCACATGCAGCTACAGCCTCAGTGCCCCCCCACCATACACTCTAGACAAGGTCTAAGTCACTAAGTTCCCCAGGCTGCATGTGAACTTGGGATCCTCCTGCCTCAGCCTCCCAGAGTGCTAGGATCACAGGTGTGCACCAGCACCCTGCTTCAGAGTATTTCCATTTTACAAATAAAGGGCTCCGAACCCCTGTTCCCCTGGAGCTAGGGTGGAGCAGGGACAACCCCGGCCACAGGGTTCCCAGCCCCACCTGATGTAGCCCACTTGAGGCCGGTGCTGCAGGAACCAGCGGTAGGAGGTCTTGTCCTTCCAGCCCACATTGCGTGGGTCCTTCCAGAGCAGTCGGACCTGTGACGCTGTGTCCCCCGTGTGCCACAGTGCATTCCGCAGCTGCTCCCCGGGGCCGGTGGAGGACTTCACGGCCTGCCATTGTGCAGGGAGCGGGCATCAGAGCACGGAACCCTGCGGGGCCCTCGGACGGAGGCGGGTGGCTGTGGGGTGGGAGACCCTCGAGAAGCTTCCTGGGCCCAGGGCGGGTCTATGTGTGCGCGGACAGAGCAGCAGGTGGGGGTACTGGGAGTCTGCGGGTGGTCTGGAGCCCCAGGAAGACTGTGAGACGCTTTAGGGGCCCAAAGCAAGGCAGGGGGCCTTTGGGGTATTTGAAGGCTTTCGGAGGAGCAGGGAGATTTGGAGCCGGGCATCCCGCGGCGGTAACAGAGCTTTGAGGTCAGTACAGCGATGCTGGGGCTGGGGGCTATAAAGACTTCAGGGGCCGCGGGAGGGACCTTGAGCTGGATGCCAGGCTCAGCCACGGCGCGGAAGGGGTTGGCCTGCCAGTACGTCTGCTCCATCTGCTTCCACATGACCACGTAGAAGCTTGAGCTGTCCTGGTAGCCAAAGATGAAGCCTGCGTAGTCATCGTCTGTGGCCGTGTTCACGTGGAACGTACCCTCGAAGTCCACCCCGTTGAAGGCCGTGTAGCCTGTGCGCAGGGAGAGCAATGGCCTGGGCCCCGCCCCCTAGCGTCTGATCCCGCCCCTGCACCCAGACCCCACCCAAGGCAGCCACGCCCACCAGCCACCAACCACGCCCACCGAGTGCACCAGCACCAGGCCAAGCCCAGCCTCCACCAGCCCCGCCCTGCCTGGAACCCCGCCCCTCCCGGGCCGCGCCCCTTGAGCTCACCCACAGCCAGACCCGGATCACTGTTCATGGTCTGCACGATCTCCATCCCCTGATGAGGAGAAGGGGCTCAGGTCCGCAATGGTGCCCTACTCCTGTCCCCAGCTGAGGCCCGCAGTGGGGGTCCTGTGCAGCCCCAACCCCCCACCTGGGCCTGGCCCCCACCTGATTGAGCACCACCCAATTGGGATCAATCTGCGCGTCACCCTCGGGGTCCAGCACCACCGTCTGGAAGGCCCGGAAGTCGGTGAGAGTGACCTCGGCGTTCTCCGGACACACGTCTATCTGGTCTACCACCTTGTCAGCATCGAAGTCACCCTGGCACTTGTCGCCCACGCCGTCCCCTGAGAGGAAGAGACAACTCCCCCGGTGGGCTCAGCTGTAGGTCCCACCTCGGGCCACACCACGCCCACCCAGGCCCACCCACCCATCCCTGCACATGCCACGCCCGCCCAGCACTGCCCACCCACACCTGGCACTGGCCCCGCGCAGCCCGCGCCCTGCCCTTGTCATACTGTCTGTGTCCTTCTGGTCTGGGTTGGGCACCACGCGGCAGTTGTCCCGACTATCAGGGACACCGTCATTGTCGTCATCATCATCACAGGCATCGCCCTGCCCATCACGGTCTGAGTCCTCCTGGGCACTGTTGGGCACCGTGGGGCAGTTGTCCCGAGAGTCCTGGTGCCCGTCCCCATCTCTAGAGGGGGTTGGGGACAGAGCGACAATGAGATACCCGGAAGACTCACCGGGGCTGCCCAGACACCTACCCGTGGGCACTTCCTTACTGGTCCTGGTCGCTGTCACAAGCATCTCCCACGAAGTCGTGGTCCACATCCCCCTGGGGTGGGGACAGGGGCAGGGGCCGCAGTCAGATCAGGGCAGAGGGGCTCAGATGACACCCACCCCCCAGCTCCACAGCAAGGTCCTCCTGGCCCCAAGGACCCCGCAGGCATCTTGGACTGGGAAGCCCTGGGTCCGAGGGGTGGGCGGGTGCTCCGTACTGGGGTGGGGTCCCCCTAACCCAGCTGGGGCTCAGCCAGGGTCAGGGACTGGCCTACTCTCACCTGGTCGGGGTTGTCCTTCTGGGGACAGTTGTCACAGGCGTCCCCTACACCATCACCGTCACTGTCCTTCTGGTCTGAGTTGGGAACCCTGGGACAGTTATCCACCACGTTGCGGATCCCTGCAGGAACCAGGGGGATGAGGCAGGGACCCAGGACCGCGGCTGGGCCAGGCCTGAGGCCAGCCTGAGACACAGCCAGCCCCTGGGACCCTTAATGAATGGAGCCAGGGGACGGCCCTTCCTCCCTGTGCGCCCAAACTGGAAACCCGGTGACGGCCTCCTGAGCCTCGCCGGGTAAAAGGGGCACGTGCCTGGCCTGCAGCCTCTTACGTAGGGGCCGCCTCCCGCTCCTCCAACGGCCTGCCCCTCCCCTGCCCCTCCGCACAGACCCGCCGGGCCCAGGACCCGGAGAGCCCCAGGTGGGCTCATCCACCGGGCTTCCAAGACGGCTAAGCCCCAGCCCAGCCGCGCTCACGGTCGCCGTCGATGTCGTCATCACAGGCGTCTCCCCGGCCATCTCGGTCTGTGTCCTTCTGGTCATCGTTCTTCTGGGACCGGCAGTTGTCGCACGCATCGCCCCACTTGTCCTTGTCCGTGTTCCGCTGGTCTGGGTTGCGCACCAAGGGGCAGTTGTCCTGGGGTCGGGGCCGGTTAGCGGAAGAGGTCACGTCGCGGGCCCGGGCCTCGGGGGGTCTGGGCTCCAGCGCAGGGAACTCCCCGCTGCGCGGAACGGACGCTCCCGCCAGCCACGCCCCTCTCGCCTAGAACCCGCACACGGCCTCACCCCCTCGTTGGGGACCCCGTCCCCATCTGCATCTGGGTCGCAGGCGTCTCCGATGCCATCGCGGTCCACGTCCTCCTGCCCTGAGTTGGGCACTGTAACGCAGTTGTCCTGGGAACGGGGGTGGAACGGGTGGCATAAGGGCGTGACCTGCAGCCCCGCCCACGCGCCACCAAACCCGGCCCCCCTCTCCCAGGCCGCGCCCCCACCCACCCCGCTCACCTTACGGCACTGGCGCTCCGGGCAGCGCAGCTTCTCGTCCGGGAAGCCATCCAGGTCGGTGTCGCGCCCGCAGAGGAGCCCGTTGCCGGCCCAGCCAACCGCGCACTACGGGGAGGGTCAGTGGGTGCCGGTGGCCGCGCCCTCGGCCCCTCCCAGCGCCCCACGCCTGCACTCACCACGCACGCCCGAGAGCCGTCGCGCTCCAGGACGCAGTGCGCCTTCTCGTGGCACGGGCTGGGCGTCCCGTCGGGGCAGAAGCGCTGCGCGCGTCGCTGGCAGCCGGACGCCTGGTCGCCCACGAAGCCCGGCTGGCATGGGCCACACTGGAAGGAGCCCTGCGCCCAGCGGCAGTCAGCGCGCTGCCGCCCCAGGGCCCCTCTGCACCACCCCGCGCCCCTTCCCAGCTTACCCGGGTGTTGATGCACACGGAGTTGGGAACGCAATTGTGCTGCCCGGTCTCACACTCGTCAATGTCGGTGCAGACCTAGAGGAGGGGACGCAGGGGCCACACCCCACCTGCCACCTCATCCACGCCTCCTGCGCGTGGGTCTCCCTCTACCCTGCTCCCAGCCCTAACCGTCCCGTCGCTGCGGCCCTTCCTGTCCCCAGTCCTCCCACAGGAGCGAAGCTGGACCAAAATGCCCCTCACTTCCCACCTCTGCAAAGAGGGGCCCGCACCCCTCACCTGCTTGCTGGCCTTGGCGAAGGCCAGGCCGACGCCCTCGTGAGCGGGCCCGCTGAACCCGGGCGGGCAGGGGTCACAGCGGAACCCGGGGCTGGTGTTGACGCAGCGGACGCGGGGGAAACAGGGGTGGGCGTTGCACTGGGGACGGGTCCTGGGGTCAGAGCGCACGAGGCTGCACCCCGAGAGCCCTCCCTCCGGGTTTCCGGGACTGGGAGAGTTCAAGAGCCTCACTCAGCCCTCGAGCGGCCCCAGGTGGGACGGAGGCGACCAGCCTTGAGCGTGCAGGGGGCGGGCGCCCCGCGGACTGTTCCTTCAGGGGCGGGGTGCGGAGTTTGAGGGGCGGGCATCCCCGGCGG